GCTCCTGTGCACCTGCACCCTTCCAGCCATGAGCTGTAGCCATGCACACAGGTGGGTTTCTGTGCAGTCCTGGCACCCTCCAAACAGATTTTCTCTGATTTACAGAAAAAATGGCTTTTGTTGGCTTCAAGGGCAGCTTCCGCCCTGTCTGGGTGAAGCTGGTCACGAGCGAGGACTCGGCTAAAATCTACCAAGCACTGCCAATTCCTGTGGTGAAGAAAATGAAGTTGTGAGGACACCCTGCAGTGCCTGCTGGCCGCCAGCACTGCCCTTGGGACGGACAGACGGATGGACAGATGGACAGACGGACAGATGGACAGATGGACGGACTACTGACCGCTCTGCGCAGAGCTCGCCCTCCTGCGCCGCCCGTGTAGCATTTTGTTGTTGTTGCTGTTCCAAAAGCAATCTCACTGTAAGTAGCTAGAGTGGCTCCCTTGCCCTGTGCCCAGCGAGTGCTCTGTGCTGGCCAGCCCGGGCTGGCTCCTGCACTGTGCCCAGCTCTGGTGGCACCGAGCCAGGTCTGAGCTGTTCCCCCAGGGGCTGCTTTGGTCAGCGCTCCTGGGACAGACTGATGTTCGTGCTGCCTCTTGAAGGGGAGTTCTTGGTCTGAAGACCGTCAAGGATTGTTGCTTCTACCAGCCTCTAAGTTGTCTGAAGAGTTTTTCTTTTTCATAGTGTAACTAGCTGACATGGATGGCCAGTTCAAAGTCTGGTTGACAATCTGGGTTAGAAAGAGTGGATCTGAGTGATTTCCTGGATGCTGGGACAGTAATCATTTCTCCTAAAGCTTCCGTGAGATTTGGTCAAGCTCTTAAGGGTGTGTGTTGTACATGCAGCCCACGGCACATAGTTGGGGAAGAAACAACACAAGGAGTGGACAAAACATGCCAGCAGCAACTGATGGAACCACCTATTTCTGCTTCCTCGGAAAACTGCATTTTTCCTATGGATCAAGGAGTTTTAATAGTGGTTGTGCAAATAGGAAATTTTCCATCAACAACCAGCTGCAGGCTAGGAGAGCAATGTCAATTAGCACATGTATTTTCTCAGCCTTTCCCACTCAGCCTTTCCCTCTGTATAACAACATTCAGGATCAGTTTGTGGTTGCCAGCTAAAGCCATCCAAATTCAAGGCTTCCAATTTTTGACCTGGCATACTGGGACTTACCTTATTCAGCACCAATTAGGGTGAGCTGCCCTCACCTTTCCCAGAGGGAACAGGATCAGACTGCTCTGCTGTGTTGCTTTCTGATCCTGTCCTCAGGCTAAAGTTATTATGTCTTGGTCCTCCTGTAAGAGTTACATGAGACCTGGATGAGGTCTTTCAGGTGGCTGAAGAATTAAAGTGGGAAGCTCAATGCACTATTTGGATGTCTTGTACCTCCCTTCCCCCTGCTCCAGACCAACACCTGGGTGCTGAAGGCAGATCAGACTGAATCAGGACTTTACAGGGGCAACTCTTGAGGCTGGGAAATTAAACCTTATGTTGTAAAACACTGAAAGCATTTCTAGTGTTCAGTGATATTTCTGTGAGTCCCAGATATACCACAAAGGTGTTTCTGGAGGCTGTGGCTGTTCTAAGAAATCTGAGGGCAGGGAGGAAGTGTGAAAGACACCATGACAAGCTTTTCAAAGAATGTCAATCTTGCCAGTAAGACTTGGATTTGTTTCCCCACTTTATCTCTGCCTGTCTCCACTGCCACATAAATTATTCCAATTGCTGATGGCTACTTTGTTTATGTCATTAAGTTGTTTTTTTCCCCACAGTATCAAAAATGCTACCTTGAAGTTAGACTAAAAAACAAGGATTTTGTGTGTCATTCCAAAGGCTGGGCAGATGCTGGTTTAGATGAGTTGCTCTGAATGTCAAAGCAAGCATGAATGAAATTTAGATAGTACTGTAGGTTACATTCCCCTCAAGCCTCTCCTGGGTTTTGAAACTGGAAATGTTCTTTTAAGACTTACTACAAAATTGTTTTGAGTTCACTGAACGTCACGTGTATTGTACTAAAAAAAAAAGAAAAAACAAAAAAAAAGACCCAAGCATTCCCTCCCAGCTTCCCAACAAGAGTCTAGTAATGAATGCTTCTTAGGCATTTGTGCCACTGACAGACTGAATGGGCAACATTTGTAAAAGGGAAATAAGGTGGGTTGTTTATTCCCCAAAATTCTTATGCTAATTTGGGGATTTCACAAATTATTCCATGAAAGAGTCCGTCTCACTGATGTTTCATCCATGCTCATCCAAAATGTTTATCTGATGTCCTGTGATGGCCAAAGCAGTGCCAGATCCATGAAGTCAAGGGAGGAGGCTAGCAGGAATTCCCTTGGGTCTGTCAGTTTGGGTTGTCTAAGCCTTTTCCCTGCCCTGAGCCAGTGCTGTTGATGCCACTGCAGCAGTGTTGGTGGAGCACATTGCTCCCAGGAGATGGACCAAAGCAGGAGCATTTCCTTCATGAGCCCTCAGCAGATGGTGGGCAGGAAAGCCAGGCTGGGGTGTGCCTGGAGTGGGAATTGGCTTTGTACAAGCCCCAGTGCTGGGGTTGCCCATTGCAGTGCTCCACTGGCCATGGCCATTTCCCCTCTCCTGCTCCCTCTAAGTGTGCAGACACCTGGGAGCATCCCGCCAGGTGGGTCTGTCCCCTGGACTGCTTTGTTCAGCTTCTTGGAGCATGCTGCCTTTGTGCTGAAGTGTAGCTTCTGATTTTACTGTTTTGGGAATTCTCAGGGTGAAAATACAAGACTTGGCTCTAGGAAAAAGCTTTTTCTTTTCTTTTCCTGAAAGATCTCACCTTATTAAGAGAGAAAACGTGAGCAGCTTGTCCTGTGATGCCGAGCTTGTCACAGGGGGCCTGTTTTGGAGCTGGGGAGGGTCTGTGCTGTGTAGGGGATCACTGCAGGCTGCCAGCCCGAGGGAGAGCAGAGTGTGCAGGGAAATGCCCAGGGCTCCTGCTGCCCTGCACGGCCTGGAGCCATCCCTGTGTCCTCTGGAGACAGAATGGAGCTGGTGCCATGGCCAGTCAGCGAGAGCTCTGTGCCAAATGATTCCTGCTTAGTCTGTGCCTGTTCCAGAAACTGCACATGCAGTGAATTCCCGACTGCTCATCCTCTGCCCACCCCATACAGTCCTGCTCGAGCTGCAGTGACCCTCTCTGTAAGGTTTTATTTCTGCAGATGTTTCCATGTTTGCCTACACAGTTGCCATTGGTGGAGTGGGGGTGTTTTGATTGCATTTTGTTTGTTTGTCTTTGTTTGTTCGGATGTTTGGGTTTTATTGCCTCTGTTCAATTGCTTGTTTTACCTGTTGCCGAAACAGCTGGTCCTTTTTCGGAGTTAGATGTTTGTACATTTTCTTATAGACTTTCCAATGAAAAAAGATATATTTTCTATTAATTTATTACAATGGCACTAAGACAACTAAATTGCAGACATATGAAGCATTTTTACTGCAGTTGAGTATTGTCCAGTTTGTTAAGGAGGTTGGCAATGTGTCTTTTCTGATAATCTGCTTTGCACTTGAAAGCTCTCTATGTCCACAGACCGTGGTGGTGCATTGACTGTCTGGTTTATGATGACAAGAGCTCTTGGGACGTTGTTTCCAAAAGATTGTGGCTTACAACTGAAATAACATGTAGTTGTTTGGAGTACACAATGTTTATCAAAATAAATATTCAGTGCAAATTTCTTATTTTATTTTTGTCTCCCTACTTATTTCAAAATACAAAACCCAAAGGGCCAAGCAGCCCCTGTCTGCGTTTTTTGGCTGGTTCTGCACAGACCACAGCACCTTTCACTGCCTGGTCACAGCTGCAGGAGCTGAGAGAGGGGGACGGGAAGGGGATGGGAATGGGAATGGGGATGGGAATGGGGATATTACAGCCATGGGAAAGGCCTGTATTTAGGGCAGTGTGGCACTCTTGGGTGACAGGCCAGGAAACTGGAAATGCACCCAACACAAGGGGCTCAAAGTGAGATGTGAAGAGGGTTCCCCCCTCAACCTCGACTCCTGCCAGCACGCAGGCAGACACCACTGCTGTGCCATTGCTGCTCTGTGTGTGCAGGGGTAGCTGTGTATTTGGGACTAGGCATAGCCAAGTCAAGCTGTTACCTAAGACTGAAAAGCAAAAAAACCCCATAGTTTAATATGCTTAATAAAATATAACAAGTTTTAATATTTAGATTATATATATTAATTATATATTATATATTATAAAGATAATACAAATTATTAAAAGAGTATTATAGACTAGAGAAGAATGGAATCATCTACCTTGGGAAAGACCTCTGAGGTCATTGAGTGTAACAGTCATAGCCAATCATTTCAAAGGCCACTGCTAAACCATGTTCAGAAAGGCTATTATATTATATTATATTATATTATATTATATTATATTATATTATATTATATTATATTATATTATATTATATTATATTATATTATATTAATTATATTAATTATATTAATTTTTAGCTGGCCCTGGCCGTTCTCTGGCCGCGCGCGCCCTCTCGTGGCCGCTCCCGGCTCTTCCCATCCCGGCGCCTCCGGGACATTCCCGGGAGTCTCCCGCGGGCATCGAACGGAGCTGTGACAGCTCCTGCTCCAAGCTGCGAAGTGTAGGGATGCTCCCTCCGCTGCTTCCCAGTGCTTTGATTCTCCCCAAGCCTGTGGAGCACAGGAAACTCTGTTTTTCCATGTTCCCAAATTAAGCGCTTTTAATGCAGCCCTTGCTGACTTCCAGGGCACCAGTCCGTCACCTCCGCTGTGATGTGTCCCGGTTTTCCCAGCCTGCAAGGGCGATGCCAGCCGCTGTCTCAGGGGCTGTTCTGCCACCTCCCTTCTGACCAAAGGATGGGAGGGTTGGTGTTCAAGCCCTGGCTGCAGCCACGCCCTTCCTTCTTCTTGCGTGGCTTCTTCACCAAACACCTCCAGGAGCACCGGGGAGGGCTCCAGCACTCTGCAGACAGATCTAGCTGCAATTTCGGAGTGCAGGGCTCAGCTGGAGTGTCTCAGCACTATCAGGACCTGGCAAGGGATGTGATAAGGAATTCAACAGGAAATTGCTCGGGAGGAAGCCCCCTACAAATAAGTATTTGCCAGAGGGTGTAAGGTGAGATCACAGTGAAATTACCAGCCCCACCATAACCCCATCTCCTCTCCTGCTGCGTTAGTGTAGGGTGAGTAGCACAGGATAATGTTTCTTAAAGCACAGACACCTCACCTGAAAGCAAAGGGCCTGTCAGTTGATAGCAACACCCAAGGAAATGAATGCAGCTCACTTATTTCTGCTATCCCACAGACCAACTCCAGTATTCGAGTGCTACAGCTACAGCTCTTGAACACGGTCTGCTCTGATTACAAATCTAAACTTTCTCATCACAGAAAGTGAGACTGTCCTGGCTTATCACTACTGCCAGAAATAGCAACGTGGCTGAA